TAAGGAGAGAGGAGAGAGCAAAGGGAAGCCGATTATGTGAAGAATGCGGGCACAGAATAAGACACGAGAACTGGGATGCCCATTTTCATTATGCATTACACCCGAACTCAGAACTACTTATATTGATGAAAGGGTATTTTAGAAGGCTGGGAGACTTGAAAACAGAAGGTAGACTAAGCGATGGAATACAAGAGCAAATTAAGGCGGAATACAGCAAACAAAAATTGGAAATACGCAAACGATTAAACAAACAGTTTCCTAACAAATTTGTTGATGAAGAGGAAAAAGTAGAACCAAAACCCGATCCTGAACAACATAAGCCAGATATAGATGCAGTATTCAATCACGCTCATCAGTTGCTAATGAACGATGAGTTTCTCGAAGATTACATTCTGCTGTCTGGCAAACATAAAGACCGAATAATCATTGAACTTCATGTTGACGTTGCCCAAGCGAAAGCAATGACGGCAAACACCTAAAAGGCATCATATGCTCCACTATATAGGATGGTGCATTCATAAATATAATGAAGTTATAATCCTCCGGCTATCACAGATTATAACTTCATTAGGGATCTTACTTACAAATCATGAGAAGATGGCCATTTCCATTAAGATTTATCATAGGGCATCGGGGATGTATGAGGGATGGGTAGAGATAGGGGGATGTTCTTATGACTCTTTGGATATTCATAGGGGGGTACACGAATTGTTAAAATTTGGGTGATAATGCGGGGGCTTGACGATACTATAACCTACATGGAAATGGCCAACTGCAACACCGGGCGTCGCGGAAACACCGGGCGTCGCGGAACCACCCACCGGTCACCCACCCTGTAACACCGGGCGTCGCGGAAACAACCACCCTGTAACACCGGATGTCGCGGAGCCGCCCACCCCGTAACACCGGGCGTCGCGAACCACCCACCCTGTAACACCAGGCGTCGCGGAAACAACCACCCTGTAACACCGGGCGTCGCGGAAACATCCACCCTGTAACACCGGGCGTCGCGGAAACATCCACCCTGTAACACCGGGCGTCGCGAAACCAAACAGCCTGTAACACCGGGCGTCGCGCAACTATTTACCTAGTTTAGATTCTTTGGACAAATTGGTGGAGTACCGGAAGGCCGGACGGAGGATTCGGTTTAGACAGTTTAGATAGTTTGGGCTCCCCGCCCAGCCCCCCAAACCATCTAAACTATCTAAACCGGCCTGCCCGGACTAGCCCAAACCAGCTAAACCATCTAAACCCACCTGGTTTAGATGGTTTAGACGGTTTAGCTGGTTTGGGCTCCCTGCTCGGCCCCCCAAACCAGCTAAACCATCTAAACCCACCTGGTTTAAACGGTTTAGCTGGTTTAGCTGGTTTGGGCTCCCCGCCCGGCCCCCCAAACCATCTAAACTATCTAAACCGGCCTGCCCGGACGAGCTCAAACCAGCTAAACCATCTAAACTCACCTAGTTTAGACGGTTTAGCTGGTTTAGACGGTTTAGCTGGTTTAGCTGGTTTGGGCTCCCCGCCCGGCCCCCCAAACCATCTAAACTATCTAAACCGGCCTGCACGGACTAGCCCAAACCAGCTAAACCAGTTAAACCGGCTAAACCAGCTAAACCATCTAAACCCACCTGGTTTAGATGGTTTAGGTGGTTTAGCTGGTTTAGATGATTTAGCTGGTTTAGCTGGTTTGGGCTCCCCGCCCGGCCCACCAAACCAGCTGAACCCACTTGGTTTAGAGGGTTTGGACGGTTTAGCTGGTTTGGGCTCCCCGCCCGGCCTCCCAAACCAGCTAAACCAGCTAAACCATCTCAACCCACCTGGTTTAGAGGGCTTAGACGGTTTAGCTGGTTTAGCTGGTCTGGGCTCCCCGCCCGACCCCCCAAACCAGCTAAACCAGCCAAACCTTCTAAACCCTAAACCCTCTAAACCCTGTAAGCCAGGAGGGTTTAGAGGGTTTAGAGGGTTTGGGGGGCCGGGCGGGGAGCCCAAACCAGCGAAACACCCTAAACACCCTAAACCCTCTAAACCCTCTAACCGTCTAAACCCTCTAAGCCAGGAGGGTTTAGAGGGTTTGGGGGGCCGGGCCGGGAGCCCAAACCAGCTAAACACCCTAAACACCCTAAACCTTCTAAACCCTCTAAGCCAGGAGGGTTTCGAGGGTTTAGAGGGTTTAGGGTGTTTAGGATGTTTAGGGTGTTTAGGGTGTTTAGCTGGTTTGGAGGGCCGGGCGGGGAGCCCAAACCAGCTAAACACCCTAAACACCTTAAACCCTCCAAACCCCTTTAAGCCAGGAGGGTTTAGAGGGTTTAGAGGGTTTGGGGGCCGGGCGGGGAGCCCAGACCAGCTAAACACCCTAAGCCCTCTAAACCCTCTAAACCCTCCTGGCTTAGAGGGTTTAGAGGGTTTAGCGGGTTTAGCGGGTTTGGAGGGCCGGGCGGGGAGCCCAAACCAGCTAAACAGCCTAAACACCCTAAACACCCTAAACCCTTTAAACCCTCTAAGCCAGGAGGGTTTAGAGGGTTTAGAGGGTTTGGGGGGCCGGGCGGGGAGCCCAAACCAGCTAAACACCCTAAACACCCTAAACCCTCTAAACCCTCTAGGCCACGAGGGTTTAGAGGGTTTAGGGTGTTTAGGGTGTTTGGGGTGTTTAGCTGGTTTGGGGGGCCGAGCGGGGAGCCCAAACCAGCTAAACACCCTAAACCCTCGAACCGTCTAAACCCTCTAAGCCAGGAGGGTTTAGAGGGTTTAGAGGGTTTGGGGGGCCGGGCGGGGAGCCCAAACCAGCTAAACACCCTAAACACCCTAAACCCTCTAAACCCTCTAAGCCAGGAGGGTTTAGAGGGTTTAGGGTGTTTAGGGTGTTTAGTTGGTTTGGAGGGCCGGGCGGGGAGCCCAAACCAGCTAAACACCCTAAACACCCTAAACCCTCTAAACCCTCTAAGCCAGGAGGGTTTAGAGGGTTTGGAGGGTTTAGGGTGTTTAGGGTGTTTGGGGTGTTTAGCTGGTTTGGGGGGCCGGGCGGGGAGCCCAGACCAGCTAAACACCCTAAACCCTCTAAACCATTCTAAACCCTCCTGGCTTAGAGGGTTTAGAGGGTTTAGCGGGTTTAGCGGGTTTGGAGGGCCGGGCGGGGAGCCCAAACCAGCTGAACACCCTAAACACCCTAAACACCCTAAACCCTCCAAACCCTCTAAGCCAGGAGGGTTTAGAGGGTTTGGGGGGCCGGGCGGGGAGCCCAAAGCAGCTAAACACCCTAAACCCTCTAAACCCTCTAAGCCAGGGGGGTTTAGAGGGTTTAGAGGGTTTAGGGTGTTTGGGGTGTTTAGCTGGTTTGGGGGCCGAGCGGGGAGCCCAAACCAGCTAAACACCCTAAACCGTCTAAACCCTCTAACCGTCTAAACCCTCTAAGCCAGGAGGGTTTAGAGGGTTTAGAGGGTTTGGGGGGCCGGGCGGGGAGCCCCAACCAGCTAAACACCCTAAACACCCTAAACCCTCTAAACCCTCTAAGCCAGGAGGGTTTAGAGGGTTTAGAGGGTTTAGGGTGTTTAGGGTGTTTAGTTGGTTTGGAGGGCCGGGCGGGGAGCCCAAACCAGCTAAACCAGCTAAACACCCTAAACACCCTAAACCCTCTAAACCCTCTAAGCCAGGAGGGTTTAGAGGGTTTAGAGGGTCTAGGGTGTTTAGGGTGTTTAGCTGGTTTGGAGGGCCGGGCGGGGAGCCCAAACCAGCTAAACACCCTAAACACCCTAAACCCTCTAAACCCTCTAAGCCAGGAGGGTTTAGAGGGTTAGAAGGTTTAGAGGGTTTAGGGTGTTTAGGGTGTTTGGGGTGTTTAGCTGGTTTGGGGGGCCGGGCGGGGAGCCCAGACCAGCTAAACACCCTAAACCCTCTAAACCCTCTAAACCCTCCTGGCTTAGAGGGTTTAGCGGGTTTAGCGGGTTTGGAGGGCCGGGCGGGGAGCCCAAACCAGCTAAACCACCCTAAACACCCTAAACCCTCGAAACCCCTTTAAGCCAGGAGGGTTTAGAGGGTTTAGAGGGTTTGGGGGGCCGGGCGGGGAGCCCAAACCAGCCAGACACCCTAAACACCCTAAACCCTCTAAACTCTCTAAGCCAGGAGGGTTTAGAGGGTTTAGGGTGTTTAGGGTGTTTGGGGTGTTTAGCTGGTTTGGGGGGCCGAGCGGGGAGCCCAAACCAGCTAAACACCCTAAACACCCTAAACCCTCTAAACCCTCTAACCGTCTAAACCCTCTAAGCCAGGAGGGTTTAGAGGGTTTAGAGGGTTTGGGGGGCCGGGCGGGGAGCCCAAACCAGCTAAACACCCTAAACCCTCTAAACCCTCTAAGCCAGGAGGGTTTAGAGGGTTTAGGGTGTTTAGGGTGTTTGGGGTGTTTAGCTGGTTTGGGGGGCCGAGCGGGGAGCCCAAACCAGCTAAACACCCTAAACACCCTAAACCCTCTAAACCCTCTAACCGTCTAAACCCTCTAAGCCAGGAGGGTTTAGAGGGTTTAGAGGGTTTGGGGGGCCGGGCGGGGAGCCCAAACCAGCTAAACACCCTAAACACGCGTCTGAACCCACCTGGCTTAGTAAACCTCTCCCAGCAGACCCAGAGCAACACATTATACAGGAAGGTTTCTCTTACATGTATATATATGTATATATACACGCATAGATGCATATGTGCATATTCATGCGTCCTGCAAATCCTAAGGTCTACACTCCAGGCCCAAAGCTCAGAATCTAAGACAAAGCAAAAGTAGCTTCAGCATCTATGGATTTTTTTCAGCGTAACACCGGTTCAAGGTTTAGGGTAATACTTCTGTAATCATGACCATGATCTTAATCATAATCTTACTGAGAGTAACAGCCATAGTCATAATCATCACCAAAGTCAAAATCATAACCATAATCGCAATCGTAGCCATGCGCGTAATTAAAGAAATCTCAAAGGCCTCTAAATCGCAATGCCTGACCCCTGAATCTAGATCCTAACCACGTCAGGTTGAAGATGCCTCCAATCCACGCACGCCCGGCACAACCAGCCAGCTGGACCAATTCTGCATAAGGGCTGAGGCTTCTGTTTGGGGTTTAGGCCTTGGAGGCTACCTGTTTTTGCTTTCTGTTGGGACATCTTCGATGGAGGGCTGGAGTTTTTGCGCAATTGGGTTTGAATGGGGTTTGCGGCTTGGGTCAAGTCCAAAATGCAAGACAGTTCAAGATCTTGATTAGACTAACCTACTTCTCAAACCAGGGCGTCCAGTTACCAGCTGAAGGCTCTCGGAAGTAGGGAAGTAGGTTGTAGACTGCGGCGTGTGGATGCTGGAGCCCACGGTTGGGCATGTAGGATGCGGAAGAATGATGTCGTGGATTCTGTCTGACTATGGGCTCCATGATCTCGGCTCATGGGACTTGGGAATTAGATTTCCGAGTTTAGGCTTCAGGATGTTACGCTTGCTCAATGCCGCCTGCTTACTGAGTGTGGCTCTTGGAACGGAGCTCTTGTTGGCTATGCAGGGTCCATGTTGTGCCTGAAAGATTAATCATATGCTTGTTTCCATTTTCCCACCCATGGACTCAAGATTTCTCAACCCTCGTGCAGGACTCCAGGACGTCCTTCCCGGGACGATTCCAGGGATCTGCGCCGCCCTTAAACAGCAGGGTTGGTACTATAGGGGCTTAAATAATTATCAATACTATTTTAAGGGTTCCTTATTATAATTACAGTATAATGGGCCCCCAAACCCTATTCTAACTGTTCATCGAGACCCCCAAATTAAGGATTCGTTATCCTTGCGTTGGGGCATGTTACAGCATGTTTGTGGCCAGAAGTTGGAAACACCAAGCCATTGCCTCCCTCGTTTGTTCCTGGAGCCCCAAGCTGTTCATGAAGAGGTATTCCGATGGGAAGCCTGCAAGTACCTCTCGGTTTGTTTGTTTTTGAATAGCGGCTAGGACCTAGAGTAGGCCCTTATTCCCTTTTTGAGGGTTCAGGTTCCCTTATAAGTCCCTTTAAACCAAAAAGGGCACCTTTTTTATTGCTAGGTTACTCTTGGGTCTGGGCGGTCCGCCAGTATAATTACATCTGGACACTTCCGGGCGCAGCAGCCGCCCACACTCTTCGAAAGGGCATGTTGCAAAGGCAGGAGGCTGAAGTTTCAAATACCAAGCCCGCCAAAGAAAGATCCTTGATAGGATTCCGCTAGGGTTTAGGGGTTTAGGGGTTTAGGGTTTAGGGGTTAGGGTTTAGGGGTTAGGGTTTCGGGTTTGGGGTTTAGGGTTCCATGAGGGCTGCTTGAAGGTTAGCAGGGGGGGTTTGGTGTAGGGCCCTTCATTATTCGACTAGGGTTTTTTCCCGATATCCTCATGTACGTAACCCTACACCCCTTAATCCCTGGCTTTGGGTTTCCACAAGGATCAGGTTCTACCTACAGTATGAATTGTGGTTTCTGGTTTTGGTTTACCCAGGAAAGGAACTACAATGTATATTATCGGTACGAGTGACTTTAAGGTTTAAGGCTTCAGGTGTCGAGCTCAGGGTTCACTGTGGGGCTTAAGTTTCAGAATTCAGGCAAGCAACTGCACCTGGCTCAAAAGCGCCAGCACCTTTAGCCCTGTGCTTCAGTTCAGTGGTTCCCTGGGCCTTGAGAACCGACTGTAGCGCTTCCGGTGTCAGAGACATGCTACGTGCCAGGTTTATGGCTCACACACCGGGAAGATAAATGCATGTTGCAGTCTCCAGGTGGGTGGTTGTCAAAATTATGGTCCCTTTTGGGGTCCTTACTATAATACGGCACCTAATATTTAGGGTACCCAAAACGGGGCCATAATTTTGACAACTACCCAGGTAGTGGTTGAAGAGATGACCACGCTGTCCGAAGATCACGCTCCAAAGACTTACATACAAAACCCTAATCCACGATAGCTACGTCCCGCAAGGGCACAGTTTTGCAAACCGCCTGGAGTATTGAGTAATACATGTGTATATATACATAGATATGTATGTATGTATGTATGTATGTATGTATATATATATATATAATGTTTATTATATCTGTTTATAGATAGACAGACAGACAGATAGATATACGGATAGATGGACAGATAGACAGATGTCGGAGCAGAGCCAGTGGCTTTCTTACGCTTTGGGTGTCCTCCAGAAGGGTGAAGTCGCAATATCGACAATGTCAAGAACAGCTTCGTGAATGGGTTTAGGGTTCAGGGTTTAGGGAATGCGACGTGTGGCACTTCAGAACAGTCCCGTCGATGGTATCGACGAGCTCCTGGCAGGTTTCCAGTCGGTTGCACATGGGACCTAAAGAGCGCCTACAAGCAGCCTGCACCCTAAACCCTAAACCGTCGCGGAGCGGGACCTGGAGTGCGGAAAAACTCGGCTGGTGGACCAAGAAGTACAGCTCAACCTAGTCCCCCGATACGGAAGTTCGCCCCTTTGGTGCCCCGAACCACCATAACAACGCCGAAACTGGAAAGACCTGAACCCCAAACTCCAAACCCTACAGAACCTTGAAGAAGCCTTAAATCCTGCAGTCTTATCGAACCCTTTATGAAGCCTTCTAGGAACCCTTCAGGGACGGCTTAGAGTCTCTAGACCTCGCTGAAGAATACTGAGGTGGTGTCGCTTACAGCGCACAGCGCCGTGGCCGAGGATGGCGTCAGGACCTCAGGACTACCAAAGGGGAAAATGAGGGACCCTTAATGGGGACCCCTACCCTACAATGGGGCTATATAATGGGTATGTAACAGCTATATTAAGGGTATATACCTTTTACCCTTGGAGACTAGGCGGTTTGGAGTTTAGGCTTCCTTTTAAACTGATCTATAAGGGTTACTATAAGGGCTACCATAAGGGTTTAGTGTAGGGGGGTTTAGGGTTTTCGGAGATTAGGCGGTTTTCGGAGGCCTCAAAAGGTAGGATGAAGGTAGGTGGGTGGGATATTCCCCGATAAGAGTCCTTATATAAGGGATCCTTAATCCTACCTACCTTCATCCCACCTTTTGAGGCCTTCGAGGTTTAGATTTAGGGTTCCTTTCAAAGGGATCTATAAGGGTTACCATAAGGGTTACCATAAGGGCTACCATAAGGGTCTAGTGCAGGGGGTTTAGGGTCCAGGGACTCTGGGTTACTATTAAGAGATCTGGTTTAAGGATGCTTCAGGTTTCGTAAAGGGTTTGGGGTCTTATAGTAAATCCCGAAAAGTTGGAAAGCGGAGTAAGGACACTTAGTGCTGGGGGATTCCCTAGACATTGAGGATTGAGGCTATTGAGTTTCCAACTTTGAGGCTCCTACTGTAGTGTTTGTCTAAACCTACTAGGTAGGGCTTTGGGACATTTTATATTTTCCCTTATTGGGCTTAAGAGGATCTTATTTACTAATATTTTTCAAAGGCCTTAGAAGCCCCACCTAGCCTAGTAGTAGAGTAGGTAACCCTTAACCTTGTTGGGTACTATCACGCCAATACGCTCCATAAGGTTAACGGTTAACCCTTTTTCGAAGATACTCGACAAGTTTCTAGACGGGTTAGTGCAAGAGCTACGAGCATTGTCTATAGGGGTTGGAACGAGGGGTTCTGACGGGGTTTGTGATTTAGGGTGAAGCGACCTTTTCTAGGGTGCTTCATGGTTACTGTACACTTTCAACCTTTTTGCGTTCAAGTGCTTTTTTAGAAGGCTTCCATATGGGCTCTGCGTAATAATAGAAAGGTTCTGGTCAAGGGTTCTACAAAGGGCTCTGTGAGGGTACTATGAGGGTTGAAGGGGGAGTTTCTATGGTCGAGGTTGAGGGGTTTTCGGGTTTCTTTGCGGCGTCGTTGAAGGGTTGGTCAAGGTTTGTTTGAAAGTTCCCTTCAGGATCGATCAGGGGGCTGTAATGGACACAGGGTTTGGAGCTTGGGCTTCAGGGAACAAAGAAATTTGAGGGTTTAGGGTTTAGGGTTTAGGGTTTTGGGTTTTGGGTTTAGGGTTTAGGGTTTTGGGTTTAGGGGCAGGGTTTATGTGTTAGGCCCTAAGGTCTCGTGGACAAATCTCCGCAGTACTGGATGTAGCATCAAGGTATTTGCCTTTGCTGCTCCTAGGAATTATGTTGTATTTTTCCTATACAATATCTCCCGGGGATGAATGAGAAGCTTGTTCTCATTTCTGTTGCTAAGGGCGGTTAAGTAGTAAGGCTTAAGACTAGTTCCCGGGATAGTACCCCTGGCTTTGGGGTTGTGTTTCTCGACTCAGATCGGATCGATCCCCCACACCCTAAACCCCAAAACCCGAACCGGCTGGTGAAGGCTCTAGTAGGAGCAACCGAGGCCCCAAACCCAAAAGCCCTAACCCCCTAATCAAACCTCAAAGCCCTAAACCTCCAAAGCCCTAACTTATAGGATCCTTAAGGGAGGGGGGTTCAAGGGGGGAGGGTATAAGGAATCCTTAGGGGACTGTAAGGGAACCTTAGGGAGTACTAGGGAGAATTAGGGTTCACTAGGCTGTATACCCCCCTTGGACCCCCCTCCCTTAAGGATACTACAACTAACTGCCCTTATCTATACGTGGATGTCGGGGGGCCTAGAAGAAACCAGGAGTCCTCGCAAAGATTCTGCATGGTTCAGCTTAGGGCTTACGGGTTTAGGGATGAGGGAGGAGGGTGTAGGGGTTTAGGCAGTTTAGGGATTAGGGCTCATGGTTTGGGGTCTAGAAAGTTTAGGGAAATTTGCACGGGTCAGGGCTTAGGACTCTTCAGACATCGCAAGACAACTTGCACAGGAGTTATAGACGAGTGATATCTCTACATCCAAAAAGTAGATGCTTTAATGGGGGTCCCTATAAAGTACCCCGTAGTATAGGGCCCTAAATTAGGGGTTCTACTTTCTAGATCCTCCCGGGGGCCTGGGTACTAGTATTTGCGTTGTTCCTCGCTTCAGACAGATCCGAAGTCAGGTGATTTCGGAGTCTCTGAATGAGCACCACATGCACACGGTAAGCCCTAAGCCCTAGACCCACATGGCTCACATACTACAGGGGCATGGTAAAATGATTACCAATACTATTTTGAGGATTGCTTACGATATTTAAAGTCTAATATACCCCAAAACCCAATTCAAACCATTAATGCCCTTATATCCCAGAGCCCTATTATAGACCCCCTTCAAGGATCCCTTTGAAGAAACCCCTATTCAAGTTACTACAAGGCCCCTATATTGCACCCTAAATGCTGCAACCCCAAACCCCCAAACCCCTAAACTCCCAAACCCCCAAACCCCTAATCCCCAAACACCCCCAAACACCCCCAAACACCCCTAAACCCTAAACCCTAAACCCTAAACCCTAAACCCTAAACCCTAAACCCTAAACCCCAAACCCCCAAAGCCCCCATGACCAGCAAGGCTCTCAACAGCCCCGTTTCTACCTCGGCGAGCTGGGCCAGCTTGAACACGAGGCCGGTTGGATAATGACGCCGTCTACTGGTTCTTAGGGACCTAGAAGAGTTCCTTTAAGGGATCTATAAGGGTTCCTTGAAGGGTTTAGGGTTTAAGGTTAGGCGTTAAGGCAGTCATATTGCTACTTGACATACTGGACTTATTTAAGGCGCTATAAGTATCGTGTGCATAGTATGAATATACTTATGCAGGGACTAGAACCCAAGGCCGGTTTGACCATGACGCTGTTTACTGGGTTCTTAGCACAGTAAGGATATATATTGAATGATATGGTTTCCTTAGTATGGTAGCTTAACATACATCCCTTAGCAAGAACCCTGTTTAGGGCTTTTTTGAAAATGACTCTTCACCTAAGCCTCGGATCTGTTAGACTGTGTGCTAATCTCAAAGTTAGCCCGGCCGCCGCCATGCTAACATGCCCTTTCTTTGTTACCTAGGATACCCAGTAGTACCCTTATTCCTTTTTGTAGTCCTAGGTTCCTTATAAAGTTACCCAATACCAAAAAGAGAGGCCTTTTTATTCTCAGGTTACTGGGTATCCTAGTTACTTTTTGGCTCACTACATGATTGAGGGTTTGGTCATGTTAGACTACCTCTGCTGTATGCTCAAATCTTGTTTCATCTGCACTAGCATTGTACACATCTGCGGGTTGCAAGGCTTCAAGGTGCAGTGCTTGCGGCTTCCACAACGGATCCGCAGTTGGCAATACTGCGGATCAGAGTTTAAATGCAGCTTTTCGCACAGTTTCGCTACCGGAGTTTTGGCAACTGTTGTGGTTCGCATATGCCAGGACAAGCGGAGTATTGTAGACCCCTGGTTAATGAAATTCTTTTCTGTTAGGTCTGGAATCTACAGTTTACTCCGTACTAGAGGGCCTTACTGATTACCTATACTATTCAGGTGCCTTATTATGAGCGTAGTATAATGGGCCCCAAAGCCCTATTCTAAGTCTTACGGCCCCTAGATTACTGCTTCCACAAACCCCGCATGCTGCATTCATGACGCTCGAAGCTCGGCCCTTCCCCAAACACTGACGCGCTATGGGGCCATGCCCTACGGGTTTAGGGGTATAGGGTTCAGGCACCATTAAACCAGAATGCCCTAAACCCTTACAGCGAACACGTTTCAGAGACCTTCTAGCAGCCCGAAGCTCATCTGTACTCCTGCTGCACGCGCTCCCCTGGACAGTTTGGGTCACGGAGACGGACACAATGCACTGCAAGACGTGGAACTGAGCCAGGTGCCGTCGTGGACATTTAGGGGTTTAACGTTTCCTCTAAGGCGTTCCTGCAAGGGTTCCTTTAAAGGGTTCTTTTCAGGGCACTAAAAGGGTTACTGTGAGGGTTCCCGTGACGGTTGCTTTGAAGCTTCGCTTTTTGGGAATTTGGGAGGCTTGTAGATGTCTGCAGAAGTAGCAGTACTGTGCCTGGTCCCGATATATGTGCACCTTGTCATATTTTATGCACCCTATAGGTTTCTACGATTAGACGCCTTCCAGAATTTTAAATATCAAGGCCCATATGTGAGGATTGCAGGTTGGAGATGTTCGGGCTTGAAGATTCCTTGGCTTACTGTTTGAGCGTTAAAGGGTGGAGAGCGGGTTTAGGATTTCCTGGGTTTACCTTAACCCCAAGTTGCCTGCCTTTTTCAGGACTTACATAAGGAAAGCATTACGTAACACGAACTCTACAATGATAGGTTTTCCAGGGTTCAGGTATGGTTTACGCGTCAAGGGAATGCATAACGGAACCCTTGTTGGAACCTTCACAGAATCCCTCCCCTAACGGAACCCTTGAAGCAACCGCAAAGGAACCCATCAAGGAACCTCTAAGGGAACCCTTAAAGGAACCCTCGAGCGCACCTTTGTAGGATCCCTCAGAAGGGAACCCATGAGGGCACATTAGGGGAGCTCTTAAAGGAACCCCCAAAAAATCCATGAAGGAGACTGTAAACAAATCCTTAAAGGAGCATTGAAAGGAGCGTTATAGGATCCCTTATCTGGATGTATACGGCTTCCTTTGAGGACTCCTTCAAGGGCTCTACAGGGGTTTCCTTTAAGGGCTCCTTCAAGGGTCCCTTAGAGGAGCCTTTAAAAGGAACCCTTAAGGGAGCCCGTTTCTAAGGGAGCCCTTAGAGGATCCCGGAAAGGAACCCTTAGGGGATCCCTTGCAAAGGCCCTTAAAGGAACCCTGAAGGGTGCCGGTCTCCACCTAAACCCTAAACCCTAAAACCCTAAACCCTAAACCGTCCAGGTCTTCGACATCTTGCCGATCTACGGACGGCTGGAGCCCGGTGAGACCCAGGTCGCTACCTTCACGTGCTCCCATACGCGCTTGCTTTAGGGGTTGGGGGTTTAGGGCTTTACAAACCACTTAGGGGTTTGGGGCTTAGGGTTCGGGACTTTATGGTTCAGGGTTTAGGCTTAGGGTTTATAGGGGTTTAGAGTTTAGTCTTTAGGGTTTAGGAGTTTAGAGTGTAGGGTTTAGGACTTTATGGTTTCGATTTCTGGGTTGCAGGGTTTAGGGATTTGGGCTGCGGGTTGCAGGGTTCAGGGCGCAGGGATACCACTTTCGAGTCAAGGCTAGTCCTTGTGGTCGAGGTGCCCAACTAAGCCACGCTACAAGCACAACACAGCACAGTATACACCTGAACCCTGTTCTTTTTCTTTAAGCTTCAGTACTTAAAAAACTGAGGAGCCGTACTGAAATACCCGAAACCCAAAGCCCTAACCCCCCAACCCTAAAACACCCTAAACCCCTAAACTTAACCCGAAACCCTAAAATCCCTAAACCCCTAAACTTATCCCGAAACCCTAAAATCCCTAAACCCCTAAACCCGAACCCCCCAAAATCCCTAAACCCTAAACCCTATAGATCCCTTAAAGGAACCCTTAAGGATCCCCTATAGATCCCTTTAAAGGAACCCCGAAGCCCGAAAATCGCCAGGTATGAAGCCCTTCGCGATCGCTTCTTCAAAGCTGTCGCGGTCTGCATGGTGGACGGTGGCCCGGAGTACGAGGCGCCTAAGGATTTCTTTTCAGTGGCCTTTATTTAAGTAGGGTTTTTCATGTTAAAGCTTTTTTGTAAATCAGGGTTTAGGGTTTAGGGTCTAGGGTTTAGGGTTTAGGGTTTATTTTATTTAAGAGCTCCTGTAAGCTTTTCTTGAAGGGGTTTAGGGTTTTTGGTGTTTAGGGTCTTGGGCTTCCGGGCCGCAGTGGCACCTCAAGCCGCCGATCTCGAAGTCTTGAATCCGACTCCAGGGCTCGGGCTCTAGGTTCCTTTTTTGTGGGATGGGCTTTGGGTCGTTTTGGGTTTAGGGTTGAGCTGGTTGTCTTGGATCTTATAGCTTCGAGTCTAGAGTTATTAAGGGTTCTGGGGGATCGATTATGTGCCGATTTGGGAGATAATTGCCATATTCCCCGTATGGCTTAGTATACAACCCTCACTACACATAAGTTTCAGAGCAGTCTATTTCAACTTGTAGTTTAGGGGTTTGAGCAGTTGAGCGTTTAGAGATTAGCGGGCCGGGTTCGACGTCTAGAGTCCCCAAAACCCATGTTTTGCGGGATGCTGGTTCAAGAGTTGGACGGTCTTGGGCTCCAAAACCCGTCGCATGTGAAGTTCGAGGTCAAGGCTATGCTTATGTAGGGTTTACTGGTAAGGTTAAGGGTTTAGGGCTTAGGGCTTGGGGTTTAGATCTTAGGGTTCAACACCGCCCCGAGAAGCCGCGGTGCGTAAGATCACACTGTGGGAGCCTGACTCATGTCTCATACTCCTTCAGGCTCATTACTGTAGTATAGGGCACCTTGTTATTGTGGTATAAGAACACCCAGGATCATTAAGGCGCGCATCTTGGACAGTAACAGATCTACCAAAAGGTATAGTCATGTGCTATATATTGGAATACGATGTGCTAGAATGTGTTACTATATAGTGTACTGCAACATACGAAACCTGTAATAATATAATATAGGTGCAGAAATAATTACCAATACTAGTTTGCGGGTTCCTTGTGATATTTATGGTATAATGGCCTCAAATCCCCAGTCTAATTACTAAGGCCCCTACATTACGATAACTCTATAATTGTCTATAGTGTATAATGTCATGTGTTACGGTTGATGACATAAAACCTGCATGACCCATAATAAGGAATATACCATAATTCCCATGGTTGAGGTAGTGCAGGATTGATATCATCAACCGTATCTCATGTGCGATAGCTTGGGATGGGGCGGCCCCTTGGGTTTCGAGCCCCACAGCGACGTAAGGGCCCGCAGCAGTGAACTGGCTCAGGGTTTCGAGGTTTAGTGTTTGGGTTTTTTTAGGGTTTAGGGGTTTGGGGTTTAGAGGTTCAGCGGATTTAGGGTTTGTGTTTGGGGTTTAGGGTCTAGAGTTTAGGGGTTTAGGATTTAGATTTTCGGGTCAACGGAACTCCGAAGCTATGCTACGGCCCAGAGTAGCTGGCTTGGTACCGCAGCTGTCTTGATACAGCTACGGTATATCATCGGGAATGTTCTCGGTAATTTATTCAAAGGACACCACAGCACAGGACCTCCAGTTTTGCTCAGGGCGGCAGCGTACGGCCTGAATGAGCTGTGGGCGTTGTAAAGGAGTTAGCAGCGCGCATGGCCGCAAGCGCCGACGGGCCCCGGTGTAATATCCTCAAAGGGGATGCGGATACTATAGGACATGGGATACTTGATTGGAACTGTTTCCTTTATCCCCAAATGTATCGATAAGCTTCCTGAATGAAGAAAACCTACAGAGATCCCAACCAAGTTTATTTGTAGCAGCCCAAAACCTTTCGCCAAATCTTAAACCACACCTACCGAAACTCGACACCGTACTTACAACTGCACATGGACCTTCCTAGTAGTATAGTAGGTAACCTTTAACCTTCTTTGGGTAGTATAGCCCCTACATAATCCCTATATAACCAAAAGGGGTTAACCTTTAGTTCCCCATGATACCCGACAATTAGGCCTTCACTTGGGTACGGCCCCCACTCAGTAATAGTTGAATAATATTCATATTATAGATATATTAGGACCTTAATCGTAGCCCTATTATGGACTTAGAAGGGGCCCCCACCCTGTAATAGTGGTATAATAATAGGAATAGAACAGGGCCCTAACATAATCCTTATAGTCTCTATTACAGGGGTGGGGGCCCCTTCTAAGCCTTCACTTGGGCTCATGGCAGACCACCAGGTCGCCTTGAAGGGCACTGCTGCGCCCTGCAAATACAGCTTGGACAGGACGGGGTTTAGGGTTTAGGGTTTGGGAGCTTGGAAGAATCAACACTTTTTGGGACCCGAAATGGACATAAGCATTTCACAGGATAACCCTACCTTTGGGGCCCGAAGCCTGCGGGGTTTTGCAGTTGGGGTTGGGGGTTGTGGCAGTTGCTGCTGCTTGCTCCCTGAAACCCTAAGTTGCTTCAGGCTTAGTGCATTGGATGGTCTTCGGGCTCCCGTCATTTCCCAGGGTTGTGCTTATAGCACATGCGCGGTGCTGTGGGTCTTCGGTCACACGCCTGTCGGTTCCAAAGGAATTGGGCACTTCGGTTTGAGCCCAGCAGCACAAATGGGTTTGCATCATTGTCGTGAGTGTCACGCACATATATATATATATATATATATATATATGCTGCCCCCCCCCCCCGAGATCTACGTCTGCAGGTTTTCGGAGTCTGGATTTCCTGATTTCCGGCTTTCTGCAGTACGTAGGTTTCCAGATTCCAGATTTGCATGCACTATGTTTCCAGAGTTTCCAGATTTCCAGATTTGCAGGCTCTAAGTTTCCAGATTCCAGATTTGCAGGCTCTAGGTTTCCAGATTCCAGATTTCCAGATTTGCAGGCACTATGTTTCCAGAGATTCCAGATTCCAGATTTCCAGATTTGCTCACCCTAAGGTTTCCAGATTTCCAGAAATCTGGAATCTGGAATCTGGAAACTTAGAGCCTGCAAATCTGGAAATCTGGAATCTGGAAACTTAGAGCCTGCAAATCTGGAAATCTGGAATCTGGAAACTTAGAGCCTGCAAATCTGGAAATCTGGAATCTGGAAACCTAGAGCCTGCAAATCTGGAAATCTGGAATCTGGAATCTGGAAACTTAGAGCCTGCACATCTGGAAATCTGGAATCTGGAATCTGAAAACCTAGAACCTGCAAATCTGGAATCTGGAATCTGGAAACTTAGAGCCTGCAAATCTGGAAATCTGGAATCTGGAATCTAAAACCTAGAGCCTGCAAATCTGAAAATCTGGAATCTGGAAACTTAGAGCCTGCAAATCTGGAAATCTGGAATCTGGAATCTGAAAACCTAGAGCCTTCAAATCTGGAAATCTGGAATCTGGAACTTATCCTGCAAATCTGGAATCTGGAAACTCGAGGACGTGTAGAAACATGAGCATCAGCCGTGGCCTCATGAGCATCAGTCGGCTTCGGGGCTGGTCCTAAAACCAAAAGCCGCCTGGTCAGATTTGAGATTGATCATGGTCAAAAAGAAGTGAATTTGCTTAATGCACCACTCAACAACGAGGTCATGGGGTAGCGGCTCCAGTTATTGCACTGCCAAGCAGCACCGCTGATGCTCATGATGCGCGTGTCTTGTCCGCCCCCAAACCTGGTGATGCTGGTCCAAAAACCAAAACCGCCTGGTCCGTCTCGTTCTCCCACAGCCGAAATCTTGAGCGAGTGAGTGTTTATGAGAGGGTCTAGTGAAGAGGGACACGCGATATGTGATGGGTGCGCACCTGTGCACAATCAAGTGTGACTCCAAGCCTATTGAAATCTTGCCGCACACGAAGCCATGGAAATCCACCCGGACGAGGTGCGGTTCAACCGCACAAAACATGTAATGCTCAAAAAAATCAACTTTTCCAACCCTTGAAACGCACGAAACACTGCTATGCTCAAAAAATTCCAAACTTTTAAGGAATCTGCCCCCGGCCTGGCCATAGATGCCAGAATTTTGGAGTTTTGGTATTTTTTTGAGCAGTACAGTGTTTCGTGAGTTTCAGGGCCCAGGGCTGGAAATTTTGGAAGTTTTTTGAGCATCACAGTGTTTTCTGATGTCCAGGACAGGATGTATTGCATCACAAGATAATTGTGCTTTCAACCGTTGTCAAGGACTGGAAGTAATGATTTATGTGTCTTCTGGAACAACAACGGTTTTCATTACTCTTGTTTGGTAAGTATGAAAAAGGCCTAGTCGTTGCATAGCTTATTTCATATATGTTTTCGTTGGTTGGTAGATCTATGGCACCAGCAGCACTGGCCCCAGTACCTGAGCTTTCTCGAAAATGGTTTTGGCCATTCTTCGGCAAACTGCACCGCCTACAGATCCATCACTGTAGCAGCGCAAGCCTATCTAGAACTTAATTCATTTCATGTTGAAGACTGTGGGAAACTGTTTGCATCTTGCTATCATCAGAAACAATGGAGACTTCCTATTCGGTTTCCTATGAGACATCCTCATACCTATCAAGCAAGAGACATGAAGATTCTTGCTAACCCAGAAGAAAATTCTACGATGTCACCTGTAGTCTTTGAAGACTGAAGAGAGCTCTTTTTCATGTTGTGATACGAACTATGACAGCGTTTAAACCACAGTCACATACAGAAGGACCGGTATCGCTTTGTCAGGATGTGAGGGAGGTGTAGAAACCGATACAAGTCTTATGCCTCTTGCCCGTTTAATAAAAGATACCAGTAAGCAAGCTTCTCTTTGTTTCTTGATCACATCTGGGGAGTGTCGCTTGAAGATTGAAGAGAGCTACTTTTTCCGCTACGTTCTATGACAGCAATTAGAGGAACAGCCATGGACATAGCGATCGGCATCTTCTCCGGGGTATAGGACAGCATCATCAATAAGAGTTAACCGAATGAAAACTCATGGCCCAAATGAGTACCTTCAAAAATAGATAGCGATTGCTATGCACATGGCTGCCTTTAATATCGACTCACAACATAAAGAGGAGTTTTCTTCCATGAAGTGCCATTTTACTTTGTTTTACAAGGTTAAGGAGCCCCTGCCTTGTGATTGATACGTATCAATGCAGCCAGTCGTAACTAGTCCTGCTTCATGTTTGGAAGGTTGCAAGAGCTCTCTTACTTCTTGCTGCAGACGAGCCTTCTTGTGCGCCCGCATATGCACATGAATTTTCCAACTCCAAGGGAGCTTTCCCATTTTTATGAGGCAAAAAACAACTATTGGAGTATTGCTTCAAAAATAAATGCGCCCGTATATTCGACTTCCTCCATGTTTTACGGACAAGACATGAAAGGAGCTAATTGTGTTTCGTAACTCATAAATCAAATGCTAGAGCTATTAGGCCGCATCAGAATCGGACGCTCACGAGCAGCGGGAAAGAGATGGCCCACGCACACAGACGTTCTCGTAAGAAAGACAATAGTATTTTCATTATTAGAGGAATGTCGTTAAATAACACACCATAAAACGCAAAAAACACGAGGTTTTTTAGTACTACCTGAACAAAAATAGCACGCCCTCCAGCATTTCAGCTTCTCCAACATATAAACTACCATAAATCTGCTGCCGAGATTCGGCGCCAGACTTTTACACATATCAAACCCGCGACTTGTAGCAGTACTGTTTGCATGCACATGGAGTAAAGCACAATTGTATCGGAATTTACGGTGTTTTCGGCATATATGAGTAGTCGACCAATGTAGAGAAGCAACCTGGGGAATTGTGTGGAAGAGGCGGATGTAGATCTTGGGGGGGGGGGGTGACCATATATATATATATATATATATATATATATGTGTGTGTGTGTGTGTGTGTGTGTGTGCGTGTGTGTGAACTTCCCTAATACATGGGAACAGGAGGTCACTCCCAATTTGTTTTCCAAAACCGGTTGACAACAACCAAAAGCTTGCAGGGGGCGGGGGAGGTGTGGAGGCGCTCCGCCCAACGAAGCTCTCCTCCACACCACAGGAAACGTCCCTGCTTGTATCTGCCTTGAGCTCCAGCGTGGGCAGCGGGGGGATACTCTCATCATCATGTTCATCTCCATCTCATCTCATGCTGTGCCATTCCTGGTGTCTGACAGCGAGGGCAGGACCCACACCCTCACGGAGCATTCTCATTACGCATGTTCATGCCATTCGTGATATCTGGCATGCTTGGATCAAAAATCTCAATCTCATTCTCGTGATCATCATCATCATCAGCAGCAGCATCATCAGCATCATCTAGTGTCATTACAAAATTCAGCATTTTTCCTTTCTCTTTGTCCTGACCTCTTCTCTTCTGCCGAATCCATCAGATTGAGTGAGTGGGTGAGAGAGCGAGTGAGTGAGTATGTGAATAATCTGTGAGTGTGTACGCGTGTGCAGGTCTGTTTGTTCGTTTGTTTGGTTGCTTGTTAGACTGTTTGTTTGTGCGTTTGCATGGTCGTGAGTCTGGGTTTTGCTTGTTGTTGTTAGCCGTGATCATGTTCGTGTGTTTGCTCGTTCTTTGTTTGCCTGATTGCCTGCTTGCTTAATCTGCGAAGAGTTCACTCCCACGGGACCCATCTGCGTCAACGCTGCAAACCCAAAGCCTGAAACATCCTGAAACCATGAAGCCGTCGCACCCTCACCACCCTAGATACCCTAATCGGTGGAGAACTCCGAGCCCAGAAGATCGTCACAAGCCACAGGAACGATTTGGATTTTGGCGACATTCCATTTACCGAGGTGCGGACAAGTCCGCGACTTTCGGGGCTTCAGGTTTCGGCTTTAAGGTTTGCTGCCTGGGTCGGAAGACTTAGTACCGCTATATCCGCCTATAGTCCCTGTGTCAAAAATCGCCAACATGCAATAGACCCTATAAGTCCCTCTATAAGAGACTATATACCCTAAACTCTAAACTAACTGTGCTCGATTAAATGGTGAAAGCCCTATACAGTAGTTGCTGATAGAACCCTAAAAGCTCCCTTTTGTAGGCCCTAAGCCCCCTAAGCCCTAAACCCCCTATGCTGAAACCGTAGAGTGCCGGGGGAGGTGGGAGAGTCCGAGATCTTCCTCTCCAATCGGGGCCAAGTGCCTGTCCTCGGCCCAGAGGGTCTGGGTTTAGGGTATAGAAGCTTACATAGGGTTTAGGGGTTTTAGGGTTTAGGGGTTTGGGGTTTAGGGGATTTAGGGTTTAGGGTGTGGGGATTTGGAGGTTTAGGGTTTCGGGTTTGGGCATTTAGAGGTTTTGGGTTTAAGGTTTCAGGGGTTTAGTGGTTTAGGGTTTAGGGGATGGGGTTTCGGGCTTGGGGGTTCAGGGTTGCCTCTGGATCCACACACCTGAGTTGTTATTTTTTTAGAGTTTCGGTTTAAGGGATTTAGTGCGTGATTGTTTCGGTGATATACCCTGCAATTAGTGAAGAGGTCATAACGTACTATACTGTACGCGATGATCGCATGCATGTCGTCCTGATCCCGTTGTTTAGATTTGAAGGGCTCAAACCCGAGTTGCACAGGGATTTCCAAGCCCCAACGCAGGACGCATTCCAGGAGTCACAGCGAAAACTCAATATCCGGAACACCTAATAATTATGTTCCAGCTACTACCCCCTTTCCCCCGCCCCAAGGTTTTTACTACAAACCCACATCACACCCCCTTGGCCCTGAATGCCTCTTCTGCAAGTATATACTCTTCGCACTCTTGCTGCACGACTGTCTATGTCGCAACATCCCTCCAAGCCTAAGCCATCCCAACCCCGAAGACCCTCAGAGTACCTTCAGGGCTTAGGCTTGAGGGTTTGGGGTTGAGGGTGTAGGGTTTAGGGCCCAACCCGACTACCTAAGCGTTCAAAAGCCGACAAGAAAGCCCAGGCCAGTTTCAACTTCAATTTGGCTGGCATCTCTCGACCGTCTACCGGCCGCAACTGCTAACACCCTGAGAGAATTCGGTGGTGGCTTCGGTTGATATACAGGTCCGAAAAATCAGTTGACGTCTTCCCTCACAATCCTTTGTACAAACACAGCACCATATTCCCCCAAATCCCAATGGTGAACGCCCCATGTAACTAGGATTCTCGGCTGAAACATTAGACTTAGATTTCGGTGGTTGCCATTTTAAGTTCGGGGTTTCCGATTGGGAGTTTCCGAAAATAGGGACCCTAATATATACTACCCTAATCTAGTAGGATCCTTATTATAAGGACCCTGAAATACGGTACCCCTAATTTTCGGAAACTCCCACCCTAAACCCTAAACCCTAAACCCTAAACTCCCTAATTTTCGGAAACTCCCATTTAGGGGCTTCGGGCTCGGTTCCCTGGACTCCTAGACTTTTGAAGCCCATAATTTATAATGACTTATGTAGGGTATCTTTAAGGGCTTCTCTAAGAGTCCTTCTAAGGGATCTACAATACAAGGGTGCATAATTTGTAATTGGGGTTAGTCCTTGTAGGGCGACATCCCTTCTTTTTCCCAAAGCCCCGAAGGCAGACCCCTGGATCCTACTTGAAGGCTTTTCAGGGTCCTTAAAGGACCATGGGACTCAGTAACTAGGGCTCCTTTAATAGGGATCTATATGAAGGGTTCTATATATGGGTTTTGGGGGTTACTTAAAGGATCATGGGACTTAGTAATTACGGTTAGTATTAAGGTAACTATACTTATAACCCCAATTAAGGTACTTATAACCATACTTCAGAAGTCCCATGATCCTCCAAGTAGTCCCCTAAAATGCAACAAATCCTGAAAGTTCCAAGCTGATACCTATGCTGCACCCACAAACCATGTTGCAGAGGCCTAAAGCTAATAAACCGAATCAAGCTACATCAAGCAACACATGCCCGCAACTCCGCATGCAAACTCTTTTGCTAAGCCTAATGCCTAAACACCGAAACACCCCAAAAACCTAGACTTTTGCACCTTAGGCTGCGCAAGCCTAGGTTCGTGGTCGATGTGGTGCCAAACAACGGCATCCTAAAACCCGAGGAGCGTCTCAAGGCGGATTTCGGCGTAACTGGGCGTTTAGACGTTTAGGGTTCAGGATTTCGTAAGTTTAGGAATTTAGGTGCTCATAGGCTTGTCTGTGTCAAGGTTCCAACTACCGAGGAGCCACGGGGCTTGTACTCGGAGCCCAATGTTAGTCGTGAAGGTTATACGGTGTGGTCGTAAAGTTTCGCTACCCTAGATTCACTCAAAAATTACGGTCCTGTGACCAATCATTGTTAGCTCTTTAAGCCTAACGGCCTACAAGGGCGCATTTGGTCGATACCTTCTCGAAGCCGGGGTTACCTTGGACCCTAGGCGCTACACCCCGAAGCTCAATCCTGAAACCCTGAAGCCCTCAGACCCAGAAGCCACCTCTCCCTCTGCCCAGTGTAGAATAAGGCCCGGGGTACGGTTTAGGCCGGGTTTTGTGTTGTCGCAACCGCCGTCCCCATCACGACCCTTTCTGTAGGGTTTAGTGCTCCAGCCCTTAGCTGAAGCCTCTGTGCTTTGCATCGAAGCCTCTGCAGGGAACTGCAAAAAGCGAAAACTCGAAGTGCTATATGGGTGGTTGTCAAAATTAGGGTCCCTTTTTGGGTCCTTATTATACTACGGCACCTAATATTTAGGGTACCCAAACAGGGACCCTAATTTCCACAGCAGTGGGGTCACTTTTTAGTTCCCCGAAATAGTATGGCACCGGTTTTTTGATGATGCGAGAACTTCGAGCGATACCATCGTCGTTTTGCATGCCTCACCGGATGCTAGTGCACACTTGTACTGAGTATGGAGGTTACAAGTAGGTTCCGGAGTAAGGTGTTTGGGAGGTGGTTGCAGCTTCGAACACCGTCCACTTTCTGGGTGCTCCGGTCCCTTCTGTGCCAAAAGATGCTTCTGTTTAGTGTAGTGTCTCGGTGCACATGTACGGAGGTCGTTGTGCGATTCCGCGCCGGTATCCCTGACCTTGTCGCGGGGCACCTGGATGACGGATCTCTGGACAGCTCGTCCGGGCTTGGGTAGCACTTTTTCCTTTTGGTTCCTTGTATATAGTTTCCTCTCTAAGCACCAGCCATAGGAGAGAATACAAGTAGACCCCTGCCTGATGAACTTCCTTCTGAACTTCTTCCTGCCGGCATTCGGCACATATTACAACCGCTGCAAGGGCCCTTTACATCTTTACGGTTTGGGGTTTTGGGTGTAGGGAGTCGGGTTTGGGGGGGGGGGTAGGTTGTGTACCAAACTTGCTCCGAGAAGACCCGCGAGGCACCTTCCCCTTGAAGCCCTTACAACTAAGACCCCATAAGAAAGTTTCCGAATATTAGGGTACCTGATTAAATACGGATCCTACTATTTAGGCAGGGTACTATAGTATGAAGGTCCCCTATTTTCGGAAACGCTCATAACACGCCACAAAACCCTAAGAGCCCGTTAAACTCCCAAGAAATCCTTCCACAAGAACCATCTCACTGCAAGGAAAACGATACCGAACAGACCAGCAACCAGCGTTGAGGACGGGTGCTGAGGGGTTTGCAGACGGAGAGCTGCTAGGGGGCGGGGTCTCACGGCAGAGCCGGATTCTCTAATGATCGTCGTAGTAAAGGTAGTCGTAGTGGTAGTCGTAGTCGTCGTCGTAGAGTAGGTAGACTTTAATTGACTTTTTTGGGATGCTAGAATCCCTTGTGTAATTAACCTTTAGTTCTCCCAGGATACTGGACATGTCTAATGCAGCTCTTCAACAAAACGCGTCCACCACATCTGCTGTTCTACCCTGTCGCCAGTGGCAGGATGCAAAAGAGCCCTTCAAACAAAAGCCACAAGAAGCATTCTAGCCAAAGGTAGGACCCAATGTGCTTCCGCTCAGATACCCTCGTGTTCTCTAATGTATATAAGCCCGTTTGTACAGGGACTAGCATCTAGGATACCGGTTATCATCCCAGGTTGAGACAGTCCTTGTGGAAGTTGCACATTTCGAGCCAGTCACGCTCACGGTACGTGCAGGGCACCCAGGGTTTCGTGCCTTGTTTAGGGTTCCTTGTCGGGTTCCACTAAGGTTTGTGTACAGGTTTGATGCTTGTTTTAAGTTGTTCAGGGTCTCAGGTTGTGCTTAGGTGTTCAGGGTTTCAGGGTTGAGGGTTTTGGGTTTGGGTATTCATTTGTAGCCGTACTCCCTTGAAGCCCCACACCGACGCTAGAGCCCAAACCACTCGAAACACAGACAGCCTTGCAGCCATTTCACGATGAAGTCTTTCGGGCCAAAAGCCGGCTTCAGCCCAAAGCCCCAGGCCCACCCCAAGGGTTTAGGGTTTTGGGATTTAGGGTTTTAGGGTTTACGGTTTTAGGGTTTAGGGTTTAGGGGTTTGGGGTTTAGGGTTTTAGGGTTTTAGGGTTTAGGGCTTAGACCTAAAATGCGCTTCTAGCCTTACGAGTAAGGCAGACTCGGAGTCTCAAACTACATTGATTGACTCAGTGGGACTGCTTCCACCGAGCTTGGAACGACCTGCAATTGCCCATGAAGCGGTTCGTCTTGCAAGGCATGGCGGCTTGTGTTGCAATTCACACTAGTTGCAAATCTGGCCTACGGGGCATTCAACACGTCCCAGTGGTTCTACACCAGAGTTCTTGTCCACCAAGACTACGGATTCAGATTCAGATGTCTGGCTACAGCAGTTTGCCGAGGCCGTTGGGCCCCAGAGCTTCTTTGCACTGTGGCATGTGGCACAAGAGCGATGTTTGGGCTTGTGCAGCCAGATGTCTACTGTACTGCTATCTCATCTGCAAAGAGCAACGGCGGCCAGAACGATGATATGTTTGCCGGGCTCAATCACGTGGCGTCCTTTCAACAGAAGAGTGCCCCTAGTCAAGTTGATGCGCTGGTTTACATGTTCGAGTCTATGCTCCTCTTGGAGTGACAACTCTTCGCAACGAAAATGATTCTGCAAGAATCGCTTCAAGGGCACCCTGAAGGTGCTGATGAATCAGGTGGCGGCGCAATACCGGCCCACGCTGATCCTGTGACTGTGACTATGTTCAAAAACATCGGTCCCGACATGCCTATTCCCTGCTTAAGGGGGTGAATTACTCCTTTGTGGTCCTTATATAGTTTTGCTGCTCCAACTATCAACACCCTTTCTTTAAGTCCCAAATCTTGAAAACCCTTCCTATAGAACCCGTCTAGAGCCCTCGTCCAACCGTCAATCTACGAATCCCTTGCGGGCCATACACTAATTGTTGTGGCCCAAACCCAAATTCCCAAAACCCCTAAACCCCAAATTCCGGAGTTTGGGGTTTGGCGTTTGGGCTTTGGGGTTTGGCTACTTAGTGCTTAAGTCTCAGCACCCTGATCCTTTAAGCAAAGCACCCTAACCCGAAACCCTAAGGCCTAAAACCCCAAACCATCAGGCAAAACCCTAAACCCTTAAACCGGCTACAAGCTAACAAGCTATGCGGAGTTTAGGAGCTCAGGGCGTTAGTTTACAAACTCCAAACCCCGCGCCCCGAAGCCTAAACATCCTAGTGCCGATCCCTAAACCCTCAGCTCTTAAATCTCCCAAAAAGCCTTAGTTCCCCAAGCTCCAAACTCTCAATATTAGAAAGATCTACACGTATAGGGACTACCTTTTAAACCCTAAGCCCTAGACCTATAAACCCTAAACCCTATAGACCCTAGACCCAAAACACTGAACCCTAAGGGAAGATTCCAAGGGGAACAGGAGGGACCCTTAATAAGGACCCCTAGGTATATACCCTTAGGTTCCCATTATATAGCCCATTATAGGGTAGGGGTCCCCATTAAGGGTCCCTCCTGTTCCCCTAAACCCCCTAAACCCCCCAAAAAACCCTAAACCCTATACCCTTATAGCATCCCTATAGATCCCTTTAAAGGAACCCTAAGAGCCCCTAAATTAAGGGTCCCTGATGTTCCCCTTTGGAAGATCGCTTAGGGCCTGGGGACCTTCCCGGGCATCGTTCTGGACCTTCCGCGGAAGAACGAGGCTTCTGAAACGAGTTTTTAGGGTTTAGGAGCTTTCTACTTGAAGGCTCATGGGCCTTAGTTAGTAGGGCTTAGGGGTCCCCTTTAAGGGTACTATGGGGGCTCTATAACGGGGCTTCCTTTAAGGATTAAGGGTTTAGGGTTTACTTGAAGGCTCATGGGACTTAGTAAGTAAGGTTATAAGTAGGTTATAATTAGGGTAACCCCACTTAGGGGACTTATAACCCCAGTTATAACCTACTAAGTCCCATGATCCTCTAAGTACGGGTTTAATTAGGGGCTAGGGTTTAGGTGGTGAAGGTAGCTTTCAAGGAGTTTTGGTTTTAAGCGTAACATCATTTCAAGAGGGTTAGGGTTTGGGGTAGAAGGCGGCTTTGCAGGGGTAGCTTCTTTACAACGACTTTCGGAGTTATAGAAACCCGAAACCCTAAACCCTATTGGAGTAACAAGATTTCGAATGGGCTTAGAGGGATTCGGCTTTGGGGATTACGGTTTTCGGGTTTAGTGAAGGGGTTGAGGGAAGCAAGACCAGAAAGCTGTGCATGGAAGGTTTAATTTAAGAGGGGTTTGGGGGCGCAGGGTCAGGGATTCGCGTGCAGTTTGAGGTTTCTGAACTGAAGTGCTCAGGGTGAATGTGAATGTGCGCAGTTCTCCCGTAGTATCCTTATCGTGTGTGTGTGTGTGTTGTGTGTGTCGTTGCGTTTTGCCACAGTGCTTGCGTGTCGCGCTCCATCTCCCTCCTCCTGCCTCCTCGTCCTTCCTCCCCCCTCCTCGCTCCTCTTTCCTCGTCACCATCGTCACCGACATCATACCTGTCATTATCACATCATCTCTTCATCCTCCTTCAATCGGTATCGGAATTGATAATCTGGTGGTGAACACAAACCCTGCAATGTCTTGTCCTAAGTACCCAGAACCATCCTCATGTTGCATCCTCTTTGGGCTATCGTGTATGGATGATAGCACAGGACACTGTCCATCCCTCGAATCGCAACAGCAGTTTCAGGATTGGGGGCGCGTGCAATTGGACTTACTTTAGTGAAGAACCCCCTTTACCAAGTTACGGTTTTGTGTCATCCCAAGACTATTCAGCCTCAGTCGAGCTTCTCAAGCGCTCAGGTTTAGGTCCAGGTTGCCTCCCAAATCAAGACCTCTCGTGCTCGAAGATTCATAGGCCGTTAGAATCTTAGAAGCCGGATTTCACATACGGCAACTATCTTAGCACTTATGTGCAAGGCATTCCTCCGTGCACCTAGCCAGCAGCAACTTCTTCAACTGTTACGATGCCCCATGCGCCTGCAGCTCTACTATCGAAAAACAGCCGCGTTCCGCCAACAACACATTGTGGACAGCAGCACAAGAAGCACCGCCAGCTCAACGAACGAAAAGAAAGCACGAGATGCACATTCCCAGACACACACGCACACACATGTATACTTACATGGTGTGTATTTGTATACATAGTAAGCACCTAGGTTATAGATTTGCGTGTCTTCTTGTGCTTACTTCGTTTTGCTTTGCAGGACTACATTAACTAAACCTACTGTAAACGTTAAGCCTTTAAGCCCCATAGACCCAACACCGAAACTTGAAACCCGAAACCCTGAGCTCTAAGCCCTCTATACCCTAAACTCTGAAGGCATCGTAGAAAAGGAGCTCAAAGAAAATCGAAACCCTAGACCCTAAGCCCTATAAGCCCTAAACCCTAACTGAACCCTAAACCCCTTAACCCCTAAACCCTAAACCCCAAAGCCCCAAACCCCTAAAGCCCAGCCAGGCCGAACACCGTCTGCAACTAGAGGCCGCCAGCCGGCGGCTGCAGAGGTCGAAGCCCATGGGGGCCTCTGGGGCGTAGGGTTTTTTTGGGGTTTACGTAGGGTTAGGGGTTTTAGGTATCTTTTTTGTTGAGGGTCTTAGGGGTTTTGGGGTTTACGTAGGGTTTGGGGTTTAGGGGTTTAGGGGTTTAGGGTTGGGGGTTTAGGGCTTAGGGTTTAGGGGGTAGATAGGGCTTGTAGGGTTTAGGGTTTATAGGGTTTGGGGTTTCTACAGGGAGCTAGAAGGGTAGTTCTCCAAATCTGGGTCGCCAAGGTTTAGGGTTTAGGGTGGTTCAGGGGTAGTTGGGCCGGATGTGGTTCGGGTAGTTATTGCTGAATGCGTTTCTTCATCGTCGGTATATGGAAGGTGTCTGAGGGCTTCTAGCAGTTGGTTTTTGGGGATGTGGTGGTTTTGGGGTTGTTTTGCCACCTTTCTCTCACCAAAATTGAAGAAGGCAAGAGAGTCAATTTTGGGTTTTTTGAGGCTTCGTCATGGTCTTCCTTGTAAATCCGGGTCAGGGCTTGTAGGGGTTCCAGTCGCAGGTAGAGTCAGCGGACTCAAATTAAGGGTCCATTTAGTAACTATCCGACATTTACTCGTCGATGTTGGCTTGGCATCCAAGAAGTATTGCCATGTGTCTGCCCCAGATCCTAAACCCGAAGTCCTAAACCCTATCGCCGCTCGTGTGCCCCGGACGTGCCGCAGGAACCCGCAGGTGTCTTCGTCCAGTGCCTCAGCTACAGAGGACGATGGAGAGGACCTTGGGTTGAAACTGTAGGGTTTACCTATCGTCTCCATTGTAGTTCATTTTTTTGGTTTAACTTAACCAATTCTATATTCAGGATCCTAAAAGGTAACCCCCAAAAGGAACTGCAATGGAGATCATAGGTAGGGTCTAATTAGGGTGGGGTTTGGGGGTTTCGGGTTTAGAGGTTGAGGCAATTCTAGAGAGGTTTGAATAAGGTTGTAATAGCAGAGTAGGATCCCCTTTGAAGTATTTTTCTACGACAATAAAGAGTAATATACCCCGAAGCCTCATTCGAGCCACATGCGGTGTGTAGGTTTTAGGATATTGGGCCTCAAACTCGCAGCCCTTTCCGCAGAATGTGGCATCTGCAAGGCTTTGGGGCTTGACAGCCGTCTCCAGTTTAGGGTTCACCAGGACCCCCCAAGTACGTGTTAAAGGGCTCTAACATTTCTCATCAAGAGGTAATTGGTGGCCTACGATAAAGGGCAGTTTCGGGGGTGGCAGATCAACGGGCTTACACGTTATATGAAAGCCTAAGGCATTGGCACTCAAAGCATTCCTGAATTCTTGAAAAATGAGCGGACTAAGTAGGGAGGTTATAATTGGTGTTCCGGTTTAGAATGTCGGGATGAAGCTGGTGTTTGAAGTAGAAGGCAGTACTTAAATTAATTAGTCTTACTGGGCTCACTCGTTTGACAAGCCTACCGTGCTTCAGCTGGCACGTCATCTTACAGCAGGAAGAGAAGTTGCAAAAGAGCCAGGGGAAAGTCTTCATCAGACCACTTCTTCCTCGCTTTCGGTTTTGCACGTTCAAAGGGTGTTCCGGCCGGCAACAATAGCACGATCTACACATTAAAAGCTTCTTGTTACCTTTATCATGTACGATTATTCCTACCCATATGGATTCTTAGTGTCATCGTGTTGAGAACAGCAGCAAGAACAAGAAGCGACTGACCCCTGTTCCAGGGGATGCTGTCCAAGCCCAACAGCCGGGCTCTGAGGGAATCTGTTGAGCGCTCAAGGCCCACGGAGACCTCTGTCGATCCTAGTTTAGATGCCAAATCCTACTTAAAAAGGATCATGCGACTTAGTAACTTCGGTCAGTATTGAGGTAACTATACTTATAACCAAAATTAAGGTACTTAGAACCATACTTACTATGTCCCATGACCCTCCAAGTACTATTCCTCAGGTTCCTCACTCTATTCATGATAGAACCTTGTAGAACGCACTCCATGCTTGTATTGCCGTTTGGGGTGCAGGGTACCCTAAAGACGCCCCAAGGTCCTAGGACCAGGCCAACTGTGGGTTGTGAGGGTTCCGAGTTTCATAAGGGTTTATAGGTAGGATAATATGTGTAGATATGTACATACACATACATATTCACCCCTACCTTTTGTAGATAGAGAATCTTGGAAGGGTTTTGTGAGGGTTCTATAAGAAGTCCTCAGGGCTTTAGGATGTTTTGAGTCAGGCTTTATGGCAGGGGCTTTAGGGTGCAGGTGTCCGGTGTCAGTATACAGAGGCCCGTCAATTTGAGAGCTCTTTACATCCGTGGAAGAACCAGAGAAAGAAAAAAGTCGTATTTCTAAAAAACCCACAAATCCTTGTCACAAACTCCTGTAACTAAAGTCCTTCTAAGGGTCAGAAAAGTCGTATTCTAAAAGCCACAAATCCTTGTCAAACTCCTGTAAAGTCTTTATAAGGATCTCAATCAAGCCCCTAAGCTTCACTCAAAGGGTAAAAGGAGGGACCCCTAATAAGGAGCCCTAGGTATATACCCATAATATAGCCATAATATACCCATGTCCCGCTATCTTTTTTGGCTCATCCTGGGCTTCGCTCAGAAAGGCTCGGCCCCAAGCCACAAATCCGTGTCCCAAAGCCCCCGTAGTTTCGTCAATCCTAAACCCGCCCTACTGACCTTAAGCCTTAAACCCCAAACTCTAAACCCCTAGGTTAAGTTTTCTAATTCTGGTTCAATTCTTTGGGGAATGAAGGTCGGGACTCCTCGTGAACATCCCTTTCAAGTCTTTTTTTTGGGGTGTATCAAAGTCTTTATAGGGCCCATGTAGTCCATGTAGAGGCTTTGCGTCGAGTTTTCCCCTAAACCCTCCAAACCCCTAAAGCATAAGACCCAAACTTTGAACCCCAAAGGAGCCGATTGTTTCACTCCTCCGCCGTCGTATTTGCGTTGGTGGGTTCTGCCATGGGTGGACCCGGATTCGTGGACGGAGAGGACCTACCTTGGGATATACCCTTCCTTACTTAGCCTACCAGAAACCGAACCGATTTTTCGTCGGGCATCTATGAAGTCTAAGTTGCAGGCTTTACATGAGGACCCTGCGCAATAGTGAGTCTTTGCGGGGTAAGGTAGGGTGTAGGGCAGTGTAGGGTTTGGTCTAGAGGTGTATTGCAGGTCCCATAACGCAGACATAAGGCCAAAAGCAAGTACAGGTTTTGAAACTTCAATCGGGTTCAGGGCCTTACGGGTTAAGGCTTTGGGTGTTCGGGGATTCTGGCTCAGGGTTCCTGCGCTTTGGCCGTTAAGCCAAGTTTACCCATCTCTGAACCCGAAACCCGTAAACCCCTAAACCCCGTCACAAGTAAGGCAAACAAGCATATCTAGTGGAATCCTTGTAAGCATAGGGCTTCTGGGGCTTTAGGGTTTAGGGATAGGGCTTCTGGGGGTTCAGGTCTGTCCCAAAGCCCAAACCAGCAGACAAAAAGCCAGCAGCAAGCAGCACACGCAACGAACCTCTTCGGCCACAAGCGTCGAAGGAGACCAGCGAAGGAAGGACGCGCGAGACAAATGCTCCAGAGGCCAGACCAAAGCGAAGAACTTCACAGACAGCCATGCCACGTAAAAAAGCCGCCATGCGGATCTGAGTTGGAGATTCTAGACCGGCGAGGACCAGTGGCCGGGTAACCAAGCACAGCGGGTACAGACCCCGGCCCTGTCCCGGACGGCGAAAGCGGAGTGCCTCATGCTCGCAAAGGATAGCGAGAGTCCGGGGGCACGTTCAGTAGTACTGAAATTAGTCGAAAGAGAGACCAAGCAATAGTAGCACAGCAATCCAGTAGTCTACCATAATTAATCCGGTACCCCGTGAACACTGTAAGTCGAGACTCGTATCTTCGGCAGCGGACTCGGATGCAACCCCGCTTAGTCGATAGCGATGAGCGATTTTGCGAGACATGTGCACTCCGTGGAAGCGGGCGCAGATGCGCGCACGCACGTCACTTCGGCATGATTGTCCTGAGCAGAAGAGCGAAAACTTGCGTGCAAGGTTCGCGACGCAGCCAGTGAAGGTGGTTAGACCTTTCGTTTCCCAACGCTTGTGGTTAGACTCTCCTCTTGGTTAGACCCTTTCGTTTCCCAACTTTTGTGTTTAGACTCTTCTCTTGCCCAGCCTTTGTGGTTAGACCCTTTCGTTCCCAATCTTTGTGGTTAGACTCCCCCTTTGCCCAACTGTTGTGGTTAGACTCTTCCCTGTCTCAACTCTGCACGTGCAACCGATGGCTGTAGCAACAGGGGCATGGCAGCAGCATTCGTCTCTTTGCGTGGCAGGTAGCCGTCGGTCGGCAAGAAAACGGCAGAAACAAGGCCCGTGTTGCTGCGGCGGATGTCGGAATGTGCACATGCAACCGATGGCTGTAGGTCCGCGAGCACAGTGAGGTACCGCGACGTAATGCATGCGTCATATCCGCATGGACATATTGGGGGTCAGCCACAGATGCATGCACGGTGCCGATTTTGGCTGAAAACAGCTGCAGCCACTCGATTAGTCTGACTTCGCTGGCATGGCGCCCAAGCCGGCGCAAGACAAGGTTTTGCGGCTGCGCCGCGACGGCCTGTCAGAACACAGCATACGACAACATCTCAAAACCGAGGGTTACAAGCCCGGACGCATTTCCCAGCTGTTGCAGCAGACGCGAGTCGAGGCATCGATCCAGGCGAACATCGAGGAGGACCGCCAGAGCAGAATGCGCGTCCAGCGGTTGGGCGACTTGAACGTGGGCTCGCAATCATCATCCTCTCCTGTGCCAATCAGCAGCGAGGACAGTCTCGCGTCCCGGGCGTCCCAGGACAAGGCAGAAGACACTCTCTGGGACCCTTCCGGCTTCGAAATGCCCGAGGGGGTACTGCTCGCACACATGAGGTTGCCACCTGCATGCAGAAGAGATTTGGCGACCATGGGCGAGGACGTCTGGGAGCGCCGCCTGACTGTGCCCCCGGACGGCTTCTGCATGCTGTACACATTTCTGGCTGCATGCGATCCCCCGACGTGGAGTCGGCTACACAGAAGCGAGCTGGGCTTCATCGAAGACGTCGTGGCCGAGCAGAATTACACGGAGGCTGCGCAGAAGATTTTGATGCACATCCTGATGCTGCTCCGCACACAAGAGAAACACAGGGTGGCAGCTCGTCTCGAAGCCGGAGGACACCCAGGCCAGGAAACCGAATGAAGCTGCGTAGCTGTCGAGTAGGAACGCGCTCCTTTTGTACTGTCTGTGGGGCTGCAAGGGTGACGCACTTGTTTGACTCGACCCAGTTGTCAGGCGACCAGGAACTCGGCGCCTACAGCGAAGCCTTTGGATGTTTTTTTTTGTGACATCGACAGACCCGGAGGCTTTTCCCGTGATTCACGGGCAAGGCCCGGTTGGCTTCGAGGTGGAACACTGCCTGAACGTCGACGGCGCCGGTCACGGAGCTGGGCATTTCGAACTTATGCGCAGCTGGCTTCCCGCAGATTGGGTTCAACGAAGGGGCTTTCCGGCAGATCGCAAACGGAATGCACCTGCAGAAGCTTCGAGCGAGGAAAGGTCCCCTGAAGGAGCCGTGGCCAACTTGCACCCAACCATGCCTGGCAGGTGCTAGAGTTTCAGGGTGGCTGTGGAGAGGTTCATGTAGGGGCCTGAATAAATACCTGTACTAGTCTTGGGGGTTCTTTTAAAGCGTTCCTTAAAGGGATTTATAAGGGATCTATATTGCTCAAACCCCAAGCCCTAAGCCCTGGATCCTTTCCCGCCCGCTGGGGTTTCGCGACGGTTGATGCCATTAGCACGAAGAAGGAAAGGAGCCCTAGACCCTAAACCCCTAAACCCTAAACCCCTAAACCCTAAACCCCTAAACCCTCTCACCTCTGATGCCAATCTCCGGCATCTACAACAAGAAGAAGATCGGGGCTGTGGACCACGTGGTCACTGGCCGCGTGGAGCAAGGAGTGGTGAAGCCCGGAGAGGATGTGGTCTTCCTACCCACCCACACTGCCTCGAATCCCTGCACCGGCAAGGTCGTCACCGTGGAGATGCACCACCAGCGTTTGGACTTGGCCGAGCCCGGCGACTGCGTGGGTGTAAAGATCAAGGGCCTGAGAGGCATCCCACAGCCCGGGGATGTCATGTTCTACAAGAAGGAGTTCACGGCCCTTGGCCGCATCAGGGAGTTCGACGCCATGGTTTTGGTCCTGGACATCCCCAACGAGATCAAGGTGGGCTACTCCCCCATCGGCTTCGTGCGCTGCGGGCACGCTGCCTGCCGTATGTCCGCCATCACAAGTGGAAGATCGGCAGAGAGACCGCCTTCGAGAAGATGTACGACCCGCACTCCCTGAAACACAACGAGATGGCCTTCGCCACGTTTCAGCTGGTTCAGCCTTTGGTCTGCGACACCTTCGAGAACTGCGAGGGTCTGGCCAGGGTTGCTTTCATGGATGGCAACCGTGTCATCATGGTTGCGAAGATCGTCGCAACCAGAAAGAACAAGGTTCAGAGCAGTGTCTCTATCCCCTATGAGGTCTATGAGCTGCTGATTGGAAGGCCAACACTTCTTGCACACCGCAGGTGGCAAGATTATATGGCTGTTTCCAAGATGAGGCTGCTCTGAGCGGAATTTCCGCTGCAGTCCAATTAATTTGACTTTCTCAGAGACAGTTGAGAAACCCTTTAAACTCCCTGTAATCACAAGTCCCTAAAGCCTCAAAT